CACAGGTAAATGAAATTTTGGGAAAAAAAAAGTTTTTTCATAAATATAAAATACAAAGATTTTATTTATTTTTTAGGTATTTATTTATTCCTAAATGTATTTGGTTGTTATAGGATCTAACTATGCAGTTCAAACTGCATAGGTGATCCTCCTATTTTCAGGCTCCCCAGCACTGCGATTACAGGTGTGCACCACTATGCCCACACTCTGGCCTTCCCAGCCTGGTCTGGGGTGGCACAGCATGTGGTGCCAAGGATATCTGAGCAGGCACTTTAGTCCACTGAGCTATCTCACCAGCCCCACCAAAAAATGTTTTTAAATAACCTACAGTTCTCAAACATTTTAGATATTAAATATCTAAGTATGGATCACATGAACTTACACACAAATAAGAAATTCACCAATTCCTATTTTCCATATCTAGAGTAGTGGTTAGATGAAGTGCTAACTAACCACTTATGAGTGAGGAGCCTATGAGGAGCATGGCTCAAATGCAATAGTCACTTAAAGCAATTATTTGATAAATGATCAAGTAACATAGTCTCAGTATTGTTTTCTACATGCCTATAGACACTCTGAGGGTAGAACTCAGATAAAATAACATATTTTATTTATTTTTAATTAATTAGTTAATTAACTTCATAAAGGGTGTCACTATGCAGCTCAGACTCATAGTGATACTGCTGTCTCAGCTTCCATAGTCCTGAGATTACAGGCATACACCACTACACCCAGTTTCGGTGCCTGACTCTGGGTTCCCTAGGTTCTGGGGCCAGCACAGCATGTGGTACTGGGGATAGAATTTGGGTCCTTGAGCTTGCCAGACAGGCATTTAGACTGCTGAGCCTTCTCCCCTGCCCCATAACATCTTTTAATGTCAAAACATGAGCTCTTATAGGAGTACATGAAAGTCACAGTTGTCAGAACATGGATTAAAGAGTGTGTAGGACAGATTTGGGAGAGGTAAGCATCTTTCATGACAATAAGAAAACTTGGATGTTGTACTTCTATCCAAAGGTAAAGTAAAGATATTCAATAGTGAGAGAACCCTGATGATGGATGTATTAGCAGGTGTTAAGCTGAAAATAGGGTAACAATAGGAGTTTGTTAAATTACACAGGGTAAGCACATAATTATCGAAAATATAGTCATGTGAGATGAACTAATGGAAATAATTTGAGGGTTATTGTTGAAGTAAAAAACCAGATCAATGATGTGTAAACACAGTAAGGGAAAATTGGGGAGACGCTTTTTAATTGATTAGTTAATTAACTTCATAAAGTGTGTCACTATGCAGCTCAGACTCATAGTGATCCTGCTGTCTCAGCTTCCATAGTTTCTATCCCAGACAACAAACTGGGAACATCTGTATAACAGGAAATAGAGGAGTTCTTCAGCTATAAACACTTTTAAGTTTTAGGTGCCTGTGCAATGCATGGGGAATTTTCAACAAAGAATGAAATACAGGACAAGGTTGTCAAAAAGTGATCTATACTGCAGATGCATTTATTTAAAATGTACTCATATATCTATATCTCACTCGATGAAACATATCCTGATTGGTGTCTTTGAATGTGAAAAGTGAAGAAAAACATTGAAGGCTGTATGATTATTGTTAGGGTCTGTTACTCAAAACATTTATAATTTTATAATACATTGCATTAAGCACAAAGCATTAAGAATATGATACCACTTGATGAAATAGAATTGAGTTACAGTCTTTGAAACTTTGAGTTATGGTTCTGTAATGAAGAAAGGGGCTGCTTTTGTCAGTTACAAAATCACGCTAAGATCCTAAGCTCTAGCAATTATAATCAACTATTGGAAAGAGCAGGTGAATACTTCTGTAAGAATGGGTAATATTTGAATTTGAAATTTCTTGCATAAAGATTAAAAATACTCAACATGCTCTTTTAACAATAGCAGTTAGAAAAAATAATTATAATGAGTTGAAAATGTGACTTATATCAAACATTATATTAAAAAAACTTGCATCATTGCAGCTAGTGAACAACTAAGAAAAAGATCTCTTAAAAACAACTAGGATGCAGGAGAAATAATTCAATATCTGTAAACCGATGCAAAGATGAACAACTTAAGACTCACAGGCATCAATGAGAAAGAAGGCGTCAATACAAATGATATAAAAAGAATACCAGAAGTGATAGCAGAAAACTTATAAAATATGGGGAAACAATCTGACATTCAGGAAACCAAAGCATATACAACTCCAAATAACATCAACCCAACTAAAAACACACTCACACATATAATAATCAAGATCCCAGAAATCCAGCACAAGAACAATATGCTAAAAGACACTAGGGAAAATACACAGATCATTCTTGGTTTGAAGTTTAGACTGCCTTCAAACAGGATTTCTATCCCTGCTTTTCTCTGAGGTACTTGGGCATATACTATTGTCTTCTATCCTTTGACTTTCAGCCGGTGAATTTCTTTATGAGTTAAGGGTGTTTCTTGTATATAGCATATTGTTGGATTTTGCTTCCTAAACCCCTGTGCTAGTCTATTTCTTTTAATTGGTGGAGAGTCTATTTTCATTATTATAATTGAGATGTATTGAGTTAAGATTGACACGTTATTTACCAGCTGTTGTTTACTCCTTTTCTCTCCTGTCATTAAGCCCTATTTAATGGGTTCGTTTCATTCTTATTCAGAAAGCTGTGGTCATTTTGGTCCCTCTCCAGAATATCTTTAATAGTCTGTGTAGGGTTGGCTTTGTGATCATGAAATTCTTTGGTTGTTCTTTGTCATGGAAGTATTTCACTTCTCCATCAAACTTGAAAGAGAGTTTTGTGGGGGTGTAACAGTCTGAGTTGGAATTTGTTTTTATACACCATGACAAGGTAGGAGTCATCACAGAGATGCAAGGATTTTTCAACATATGGAAATCTATAAATATAAGACACTAAATCAATAGATCCAAATCCCAAACCATATGATCATCTCAATTGGTGCACAAAATACTTTTGACAAAATACAACACTCATTCATGTTCAAAGTCCTACAGAAAATTTGAATAGATGTCCTCTACCTCAATCTGATAAAAGCCACCTATGAAAATCCAACAGCTACCATAATTCTAACTGGAGAAAAACTAAAATCTTTTATTCTCAGATCAAGTACAATACAAGACTGTCCTCTTTCACCCCTCCTATTCATTATAGTTCTGGAATCATTAGCAAGAGCCATTAGAAAAGAGAGAGAAATAAAAGGAATAAGAATAGGTAAAGAAGTTAAACTATCATTGTTTACTGAAGACATGCTACTCTACTTGAAAGACCCAAGAAGTTCCACCAAGAAGTTTCTAGAATTAATAAACAAATTCAGTGGCATAACATGATACAAAGTTAATACCCAAAAGTCAATTGCATTCCTTTAAACAGATAACAAACACCTGAAAGAGAAATTCGAGAAACAATACCTTTTATAATAGCACCATGGAAAATGAAACATTTAGGAATTAATCTAACTAAAGAAGTAAAAGATCTACTCAAAGAAAATTACAGCACTCTGAAAAAAGAGATCTTAGAGGATTTTAGAAAATGGAAAAGTATTCCTTGCTCCTGGATAAGAAGAAACAGCACTGCGAAGATGGCTAGACTCCCAAAATTGATATACAGATTTAATGGAATCCAAATAAAAATACCACCAACATACCTCACAGACCTAGAGGAATTGTTCCTAAAATTTATTTGGAACCAGGAAAAACCTAGAATAGCAAAGGCAAT